CGGGAAACTTTTAACTATGCCCAGGAGTGACACAGCTCCCCGACCTCTGTTTGTTTATTAACATATTAATTTTTATATTTGTTTTATACCCCACCCTTCCTCATGAAGGAGCCCAGGGCAGCAAACAAACAAGAGATTAGACAATCAATGCATGTTTAAGCTGTTAGAAAAAGAGGCAGAGGGCATTTGTGTCCTTTTAGTTAATGCACATTTCCTCCCTCAAATAATCCTGACTCTGGTTTGTTAAGGGTTGCTAGGAATTGTAAAAAGTAAACTACAGTTCCCAGAATTATTTGGGGTAGGGTGGGAAAACATGCTTCAAATGTGTTCTAATGGTATTGTGTGTGTGTACCCAACTTTATACTACCAGATTACCCAAGCAAATGGCTTTCATTGGCTAACTACTCTCAGGAAAAGTTTCTCACATCTTACACCATTAGGCTGCTGGTCCATCTGCCAACTGAAAACTGCTCTCCAAGACTTCAGCCCCAACCATAGTTGAGAGATGGAGAAACACTGAGGATAATCTCACGAGGCAAAGATGACTAGTACAGATGGGAGCTGTAGTGTAAGCCATCTGGATGGCACCAGGTTGACGAAAGCCACCTCAAACTAAATTTATTTTGAGCCTCAGAAATTAGTTCTGTTACTCATAGAATATATATTTAAAACATGTTGCTTTTCCCCTAAGGAAAGCATCCACTATTCAATAACATATTTATTCAATATATAATATAATATATTTAATTGGTGGCATTTTAGTACTGCTTTTTCAGTACCTTTTTCCAGTGCCATTTTGGGGCTTGCTTCTTCCTGCTGCCCTTTCCGCCATAAAGTGGTTTGCAGAAAAATGGGTATTGTTGAAAACAGAGTTTTTTGTTTTTTTTGCACTGATGTTGATTCTGTCCTATTTCTTTAACAGTAGTGAGAACCACAGTGTTTTGGATCCAGATCTCCAGTCTCATCCCGGACTGAGAAACTGCATCTGCTCTCCAGAAACGGCCCTGAAATGTGGACATTCTGTACTTTAGGGCCCAGGGAGAGCCGCCTGGTGCCAAACAGGTGCATGTTGTCTTCTCCTATCTTGACAATGCTGTCTTGTGCATGGAACTGTTTGCAAGGAAAGACAGAAAAATCCTAAGCAAAAGCTGCTGCGCTCACCACTGGCAGAGGACACTGTGCTTTGCTAGAAGCAAATATTTTTCTTATTAACAAGTCAATGAGAAGATTTATTATTGTTGTTATTTCATGCAAGTTCAATCAGACAGAGGACAAGGCTATCAACTGCTACTAGCCAAAAGGGTTAAGCACAGCATGCAGATGAAGAAATTGCCCATTCTGTGGGTCATTGTGCCATCTTGTATCTAGAGCCCAGATGCGTGCATTCCTGCAACATAATTAACAGCGGATAATGTTTTGCTACCCTAAGCAATTCATCTTCACAGCAACCCTAAGAGGTAGGTAACAGCATCCTGTTTAGGAATTGTGTGTTGAAGAAATTTGCTGCTCCTTGACAATTTTTCTGGGGTTCCTCAATGAGAAGATCAGATAGTAAATAGCTAAAATATTTATTTCAAGAGCTATGGATGGCTAGAACAGGGTTTCCAGCTGTTTTTGAACTACAGTTCCCATCACCCCTGACTACTGGTCCTTCTAGCTAGGGATGATGGGAGTTATAGTCCAAAAACAGCTGGAGACCAAAGTTTGGGAAACCTTGGGCTAGAGGGTCCTTTCTTGATCAGTTTGTTGCCAAGCCGAATAGATGCCGTAAAACCAATGGTGACTAGCAGAGCAGGTTTGATGTGGGACACCTTGAGTACTAATGGATTCTTGAGGCTAGCCCAAGATAAAATGGTGAATTAGCACAACATGAATGTGTGACATTCTTTTAATAATGATCAGCATGTATCAAACATCTGGGGAGAGGCCAAGGAGAGAATGCAGCCAGAGGTCAGTGTGTTAAAAGCTATTATTCCACAATCTGTGCACAATCTGGGTGTAATGCTTGGTTGGGGATTATGTGAATGTATGTTGCATCCAAAATACATGCCTTTTTGAGCTCTGTAAGTGCAACACACTAAGGGTGTGTTCACATTATCGCCTTAGAACGCAATGTTGTCATCCCCTCCCCAAGCGTAACTTGCCAACTCTTTCCCCTCTAGCTGTTCATGTCATAAGTTAGGAATGGCTTAAGGACTCCAATTGGTGCGAAGCTGGTTTGAGAAACGGCAGTATTTCGTATCAAAGTACATATAAATATTCATTTTTTGATAACGTCATGTGAACGTGGGTTTTAAAAACATGTACTGGAAACACAGTGATTGCGCTGTATGAACAAAGAGCAGGTAAGCTCTGAAATCAAAGCAGCATTTGAGAATCAGCACATATATTGAGTAGAATCAAGTAGTAAAATGGTTCCTGTGCTGTACCTGCTGCAGGTGGCAAACCTGCATTTTAAAAAAATGTTCCACACAAACCTTACCACCTACATAGAGCTGGCCCTACTGTTTGACAAAGTGAGGCAACCACCCCCGGCAGCAGATGCTGGTGGAAAGCTGTTTCTCCGAAGTCTCCCTAAGCATTCTCCTCTGCTGCCTCTCTTGAGCCTCCTATTCTGGCCTCTGTAATTGACTGCTAACCTGAACTCTCTTGCTCCAAAACTAGCCAGTGGTTCTGACCTGGAGAAGCTCACATGCATGGCTGAGGTTTTCTGATGAATGTGTTCATCGTTCCAAAACCCAGCAGGTGCAACTCAACTTCCCAATTTCTAAACCAAAAATTGAAGCCCAAGTCTATGCACTCTCATGTTCTTCTCTGCCTGCCATGCACTGCATTATTATACATTATAACTGCCTGCCATGCTTCGGAGCTTGATGCAGAGTGCATTAGTAAAACTGCTCATAACAATTGCCCATAATAATTTCCTTAAAAAGCAAAAAGCACCTTAAAGGTAAAGGTAAAGGGACCCCTGACCATTAGGTCCAGTCGTGGCCGACTCTGGGGTTGCGGCGCTCATCTCACTTTATTGGCCAAGGGAGCCGGCGTACAGCTTCCAGATCATGTGGCCAGCATGACTAAGCCGCTTCTGGCGAACCAGAGCAGCGCACGGAAACGCCGTTTACCTTCCCGCCAGAGTGGTACCTATTTATCTACTTGCACTTTGTGCTTTCGAACTGCTAGGTGGGCAGGAGCAGGGACCGAGCAACGGGAGCTCACCCCGTCGCGGGGATTCGAACCTCCGACCTTCTGATTGGCAAGTCCTAGGCTCTGTGGTTTAACCCACAGCGCCACCCGCGTCCCAAAAAGCACCTTAGCAATGTTTAATAGAATGTTCTATATCATAATGGATCTAGTTGTGTATTAGAGAATTGCAGTCATTCAAACACATCCAGTTACATTTCATATTTGTATGGGGGAGGTTATTGGGGTTTTTTTGTTATTATGGTAAGTTTTTTATATTTATATATATCATAAATTGTCCTGTGAGCTATGGATGAAAGGTGGTATAGATATTTAGTTATTATTAATAATATTGATTGATCCAGCTGTCCCCCAAAATCAATAAAAATCAATAAGAATACATAGAAAACTGTGGTTCTGCCCCCACCCCCAGAAGGCCTGCCCTCCCTAACAAAAAACCTGGCTACGCCCATGCGGAATGGGCTAGCCTTTGTAGGATTGCCCCTATTTTATTGCCCCTGTTTCTTGGCTTTTAAGATCAGCCTGATGCATAGACATACATATTTATTTATATATAATTCTCTAACCAGTGTTTTTAAGTGGTGACTAAAAAATTTTAAACTGCAGGTCTGTTCCCTGAAAGTAAGCCTGATTCAATTGAATTACTTCTGAGTAGACATGTTTAAGGACTGAGCTATAAAATGTTGCATTTTTCCTTAGGCAATCTTATGTGCATACTTATTTCTGGTTGTAAGCCCACTGAATTTAGTAGGACTTCTATGCACGGCCCAGCTGTATCACTAAACAGAGATGTTTGATAAACATACAAAATATTAAGATAAATGTTGCTTGAAAGGAATGCTTGGTAAAACTTTGCTTACCAAGACCTTGGGATTAGGTTACTGACAGCTGTATTCCCAATTACACCCACATTAACACCCAACCAATCCATTTGTGACTCAGTTGCTGGCACTGCCTCATGTTACGAGAATTCAAGATTGGCTACAGAGTTATGTAAGTCAATCATTCTGTCTTGTAGTACAACCCTTCAACCAAATACTTAGGGTATAAGCATGAGCAGAATCAAGCAGATAAGTGATTCATTTGCAGAGGGAAATCACTTCAGGAGGACAAGATTCCAAAAGGATTACCTACTCCTCTGTTCCAGTTGTGCATGTTTCTTTGCAAATTGCTATGCTCTGAAAGGGCAAGCCATGTTCCAGCAGCTGTTTGACAGTGGCTGATCCTTTGGCGCCACCTGCTGATAAAAGGAGGCTTGGGCTGTGTACACATTACCAATTGCTCTGGCGCACTACCAGAGTTTTTGAAGCGGTCTGCACATGACATTAGCCACAATCTTTATCTATCCGGTAATTTCTTAATACTGTGTTGTGCATGTTCAAGGAAAAATGCGTCCTTTTCCATCCAATCTGAAAACATAAGCCACATGCCCTTCGCAATTAAGCTGAGGTGTGCACATTGGAAAGTCATTGCACATGTGCAGACAATAACTTAATGAACAGGAGAAGTCTGGTGGGGAAGCCAAACAGGCAATGTACATCAGGTGAAGCTATCTCCACCCTTGCTCTGGTGTGGACAGCAACATGCAAATGTGAGTTGCGACAGTGCAGGAGAAAACAACCTTGCAGCCTTTTAAGCTGCCAACATGTAAATAGCCTAGGATGGCTTTTAAAATGTGGTTCTTTTGGGGGGGATTATTATTGGGTTATTGCTTTTATTTTTATTTTATATACTGTGGTCTTTTTATGTGAACCGCCCTGAGACCTCCGGGTATAGGACAGTATATAAATTCAATCAATCAATAAAAATGATGGCTTTAATAGGAATTCAGGCTGAGGATGCTGAACATCGTGTAGGTTGATCACTCCTTGAAATCATTGTTCGAAATGCACATAATTCTAAACACTTTGGCACACCCTGCTGTGATCCCCTCTGAGTCTGCAACCCCATGCATACTATTGTGGGACTGAACTCCATGGGTCTTTTCAATAAGCATGCAAAGGACCCAACGGGTTTGGTTCCGCCCCCCCCCCCATTGGCAAATAAGGAGCCATTTCTTCTGTCCTAATTGCAGGTCTATGGAAGGTTCCAGGGTGTCCATGGAGATGAAAACACCCTCTTGGCAGTGTGCTACCTGGCAACAAGGGCCTGGTAGCAGCTGGTGTTTTGGTCTTTTCACCCAGCAGCAGAATCTGTAGCTCTGGGCTCTTTCTAGGCAGGAGAAGCAAACTTGGTGGGGGGCAGAGATGTGAAATGACAGAGGTTATTGTGCTTCCTTTCCATCCATCAGTAAACATCCAAAGAACCACTCAGTTCACACCAATAGCCATAATCCATTGCCCTGACTTTATATTTAATGATGGCTACCATCAGCACCATGTTTTGACAGGCTAACCTGCAATCTTTTGAATTATGGTGCTGGAGGAGACTCTTGAGAGTCCCATGGACTGCAAGAAGATCAAACCTATCCATTCTTAAGGAAATCAGCCCTGAGTGCTCACTGGAAGGACAGATCCTGAAGGGTGAACAAGAAAGTCTCTGAAATAATGCAGAAGGGCAGCACTTTTTAAAAAAATTATGCAAGGACAAACTCCCATCCTATAACCTGGCATTAAAATAATTCTAATATTCCATAAAATGGCACAAAATTTCAACATACCAAATGCTTACTTTTATCCAAGCTAGTTAACTTGTCCATTTCTAAAGATGGGGCTTTAGAAACATAATGCTACATAGTCAAAGTAATGTAGGTCACCTTCATGAGTCAGGAATGGATCCACTCCTGTGGTCAGGCTCTCAGCTGCTTGGCCGGGCACAGCTGTAGTAATGGCTCTTCAAAGCCCAACTCCAAAATATTCACAACTCTGACAAGCATCAGTCTTGACTTTTTTATATGAAAAATCAACTAATTTTTTTTGGGGGGGGTAGAGAAGAACCCTCTGCTACAGAGTGTGCCTTCATGAAGTAGCACTTTGGTAAACCAACCCAGACCATGTCCTCTGAGAGCAGTCTCACAGCTGACTTGCTTAAGCAGGAACCAGGAGAGAGGTGATGAAATCTGTCATAGAAATGAATGGGTGACTAAGAGCCCATAGTCAGTCACCCAGCCCAGGAAGGCAGCATTACAGGTTTAATCAGATTTGAGGTTTGGATCATCAAAAGACATTTACATTCCCAAAGGGGTGGTGTGCCTAACTAACGCAGCACCACCTAAAACAAATAAGTGCTTTTATATCATATGGCTCTGAAACAGCAGCATGTCACAGAAACTCAGGCAATCTTCCAACAAGTAAAGGGAAGAAACAGCAATGGCTGCCATAGGGGTGGCTAGCCTGTGATCCTCTAACACAGTGGTTCTCAACCTGTGCGTCCCCAGATGGTGTTGGACTACAACTCCCATCATCCCTGAGCTCTGGCCTTGCTAGCTAGGGGTGATGGGAGTTGTAGTTCAACATCTGGGGGCCCACAGGTTAAGGCAGGCTGCTCTAACAGTTTGTTGGACCAACTCCCACGAGCTCCAGTCAACATGGCTAATGGTCCGGGATGATGGAAGCTATAGTCCAGGTATTCCCAACCTTCGGCCCTCCAGATGTTTTGGACTACAATTCCCATCATCCCTGACCACGGGTTCTGTTAGCTAGGGATCATGGGAGTTGTAGGCCAAAACATCTGGAGGGCCACAGGTTGGGGATGCCTGCTATAGTCCAACAACATGGGGGGGGGCACAGGTTCACCAATCCTGATTTTGGATGTCAACAACTACAAAGATGGACTTATGAGGGCTTTGTGCTGGTGACCTGCAATATGTGGCCAGTATTTGAAAAGCAGGACAATGGCAATAAACCTAGTAGAAGCAGCTGCTCTTGTACCTCTTCTCAAGCTATTTTTGCCTTTGTACTTAGAAAAGAAACTGACCATCACTTTTTACAAAAAGGTATTTAATGACCTTACACATACAAAAACGAACATGTAACAAAAATACCAGTTATTGATACTCGACCTAAGCCAAACAAGTTAAGATTGCTACCATTTCAAATATACTTCAAAGAATGCAAGAACAATTGACCGGAGGTATCCTATTTGTTTTTAAATTAACCTTTCACTGCATGCACAAGCCTAGTGCAAATAGTATTTTCAACCTGCAGAGATACTAGCTGCTATGGGAAAAACACTCACATCATAGAAGGGTATTCACATTTCATATATTTACTTTACCAAATGTCAGATTCAGCTCCCAATAGCCATTCACTATAATGTACTTAAAAATTAAAAAGGTAGGTCTGGTTTAAAAGAGCCATGCGAGGTTCCCTGTTTCATTTCCCCCTCAAAAGAAGCCATGTGCTATCCACAAGCAGGAGCCAGCTCCGAGAACACACTTATCAGCTTGTTTGAACAGGCCATTTCAGAGTCATGTGCAAGCACAGGGAATCTCAGGATGTTTTAGCCATCCTTCCTTGCTCTGTACCTGGGATCAAAAGTTCATCATTACCGGCCTGCAGTGAATTTTGAACACACCTGAGAGAAAGCGACATGCTACCAATTATGGGGGTCACTTTTCCTGTGATTTAGGATATACCTACACCACAGAAATTTGTTTAACATCCCCCCCTTCCCACAGGGTACCATAGGAATTTGTCGGATCTGTGATGGGGATGAGAAACACTCATGCAACATCAAGAATTATTTGATGGTGCAGTAAGGGAGGCTTATGATTTAAAAAGGTGTTAGTGTAGATATATCCAGAATATGGGCCAAAGGGCCTCCTTATCGTTTCAGTATTTCTTCCTAAATTCAGCTTGCTTCAGCTGAACCTTCCAATCCTGTAACTCAAGTGGAGACTGAAGCAAGTTAAGTGGGAAAAATAATCCACTGCTTCAACTTTTCCCTCCTTGCGTGATTCTATCAATCTCCATAGCCTCTCTCAGCTACTTACTCTGGTTTTAAGTCAAAGCACAGGAAAATCATATTTAATACCAGCTCTTACATAAATCAGACCTACTATATTTGGAACACAGTGAGATGCTATCACAGTGGATCCATCACAGTAGAGCAGGACTAAGTAACAATAAATCATTGTAAGAAAGGCCTTCCCATGCTCCATTTAAAAAGTTCACAGTTGCATGTCATGTAGGTATGGCTAGTTCCCTTCAGAATGTCTGGCTGATCTGGTAACATGCTCCCAGATTCAAATCCTAACAGTAGCATGTCACAAGCATTACATTCTAAGCAGTGAAAGTAGTTATTAGTTAATTCTGCCCTTTGTTAAAAGCTCTAGATGGTCGAAGACTGGAAGAAATTTAGAAGTAGGAAATCCACGATTCCATGTACTTCAGGTACTGGTGTACCTTTGCATATAATGGATCTTTAGCACCTTCTATTGTATTTTCTCAGTAGGGGGAGGGGAGAGAGTACTGTTCATTAAGTTACCTTGATCAATCAGCTGAACTCCTAAGTCACATCAGTTAATCATTTAGCTACCCATATTCTGACGGCTGTTCCACAGATGCTGGAGATCATACATTAATACATTCATTTGAAATAGGAGAGTTCAAGTTCAACCAGACCACAGGATAATCTTTAAATTGTAAGAAACTTAGTTACTCCCCACTCTAACTAAGAATCTTATAAGATTCCCAGCTCAGATTATAAACTACTTCAGAGGATTTTTAGCAGATCTTTGCTAGCAGCCATTGTTCTTGTATTTTCCATTATAAAGCACTGAAGAGAACCTTCAGTGTAACACTTAAATAAAAAGTAGTACAATTTAAAAAGCCAAAAAAACCAGAATATGGTCATGTGAGATCAAACGAATTTTCCAAACTGAAATTCTTCATATACTTCTATTGTCCTTGATCATGGCTCAGCAAGGAGTTAGTATCCTTATCAGTACAAAGTCTTATCCAGATGAGAAATGTGCAAGTAATAATTCACGCAGATTCCTTTTTTTGCATCAATGATTTGCCAGAGACTCCCACATCTTGACTTATTTCAGCTCGCCACAGTCAGTGATGACAATCTTCTTTGAAGGCTTCCCGCTTTTGGAGCCAAGGCTCTCGATTTTTTTCACAATCTCCATCCCTTCCTTCACGTGGCCAAACACAACATGCTTCCCATCCAGCCTGCAATGCAAACAGGAATAATATGCAACAGGAAAAGAAAACTGCAGTATGAATGGGAAGGAATCTAGAATGAGTTGACTTGAAACATGGGATGATTTTCTTCTTACTGAAAAGGTTTTATTCCATGCCAGAAACACTTAAAAAGAAATAATCACACCAAACCAGGAGGAAGCTTAGCAATCAGCTTGGCATTGAGAAGCTACTGCTGTTAACATCTAATCCAGGGATTCCCAAACTTGGGTCTCCAGCTGTTTTTGGACTACAACTCCCATCATCCCTAGCTAGCAGGACCAGTGATCAGGGATGATGGGAATTGTAGTCCCAAAAGAGCTGGAGGGCCAAGTTTGGAAAACCCAGATCTAAGCAAGCTAGAATTACAAACCATAAGCTTGAAGTGATTTTGACACTGTTTTGATGTGGCATAAAAACTGACAGATATGGCCACCGGTATGCCTCTGTGAGGGCTCTTGTGCCTAAAGATGGCATTTCTGAGCAGATGGATTTGTGGACAACCTGTAGCTCAACCCTACTGGTGCAGCACTCAGACAGTTCAATAGTTCTGAGTTCAGTGTAGTCCAAATGGGCTCTATCTCAGCGTCTGATCCAACAATCTTTGCGAAGCTCTACTCCACTTCTTGCTGGGGTGGTGGTGCAAGACTTTTATCAGACTAAAAGATACCCAGACATTGTCAGTCAGTTAAAATTGGGTGGGGTAGGAAAGACGACATGCTTTTCACCCTGAATACATTTCTTTGGAGAGATTTACTATTTCAAAACTACCTACATTTAAAGTGGCAGTGGTTAGGCTGGAGCATCACAGAACCTTGAACAAGGTAGATTTAACTCTAGAATGTTCTGTGAGAACTGGACCATGAGAAGAGGGCGCTGGGCTTCTACACAAACGTTTTTTGCACTGACACAGGGTGATGGATAGTGTGAGACATGATTTAAAGTCTGCATATTCAGTGCAAAGTTATTTGACCCAGCCCTTAGGAGAGCAGGTAAAATACCAGAGGTCTCCTGTCAAATCCCAAATATGGCGTTTAGCCTAATCAACCAAACAGTTAAGGCTCAGAACCTGACATGTGCTAAAGCTACCAAACGCCAGCAAGCAACTCAAGGCATTTTCATTCTTATGCACTCATTATGGGATGTGTTAGTCAAAGTCACTCTAGCCCTCCAGCACTCTCTCACTTGCATGTTGCGTTGATTCACCACATGTGACGATGGGAGTGACTTTGTGCTCATTAAGTGTTTGACTAGCAGGCAGGAAAACATGATGCAGTGCTCTCTGCCCGTTTTCCTCCAAATATGCATTAGGCATGTAGGAAAGTTACGTATGGGAGACAGCAATGCTATCTACGCTTTGGCAGAATTAAATAACAGTGCTGAGGCTTGTACTTATCTGACTCTTCTCAGTATGTTGCTATACAAGTATATATTTGCTATTCCTATTACAGGTGCACCAAAAGGTTTATAGGCAGAAATGGAGCTTTCTAGGGGTTGGGTGAATGTTTTCTAAGCCACACGTCTCCTTTGTAGCCTTTATACTGGCTTTTTATGGCTGCTTTTCCTCATCTGCTTTTGCATAACATGGCATCACCCTCTTTCTGAATGGGACCATTATTCACAATTAACAGAAGAGTTCTACTTTACGCTAAAAAAAAATCTAATCCTGTACTGTTTAAGTTATTCTAATTTAAAACCAGAGCTTACAGGAAGCACTTGAGGAGGAGCACAGCTCACTTCTAAATGGAAATTAGCCGGAGCCAGTGCAACAGCTTTTGTTGTTGTTGGCATCAGTCTGTCTCGAGAAATAATCGAGTGTGTTGCTGGGAGTGAAGTCAAAACACTGCAAGAGCAGTGTCCTTTCCTGGGGCACAAGCCTGGGCAGTGTGTCTGGAGGTCCTAGGCTGCCCAGACAACAAGAACCCCCTCTTGGCCTCACCGATGTGGTTCAAAGGAAAGCAGAGTGATACATTTGGCACCAGCTTGGCTGCAGAAGTTGCCAGAAGGAAGCGTACAAGACACCATTCAACCGTCTTACGAACTCCACTCTAGATTTATGTAGGATTTGCTACTTAGCCTTTTCTTCTCCCAAAGATATCCCACAAGGCAGAGGAGGTTTAGGATCAGAGTTTTCCTTCTCCTAGATAGGCTACCTTCTCAGGTTGATGATCCTCATCTGCCTCTCACTTCCCTCTAAAGCAATGACTTAACTGCTTATTAAAATGTATAAAGCTCCTATAGGGCATTTTCACAACCTATACAATTCCATTTGCTTCCATCATGCTCCTTAGCAAGGATCACAAGCATGTGCAATTTGCCAAGCTTTGAGAAAGCCTAGTTATAAAAACAAGCCCTTCCACATGTGTGTTTGCAGAATGCTTACCAATCAGTTTTAGCTGTGCAAATGAAGAACTGAGATCCGTTAGTGTTGGGTCCAGCATTGGCCATTGAGAGAACACCTGCAACAACATCAAGACAGCAATGTAACTTCACTGTACAAGAACACAGAACAAAAAAACCTAACAGGCCATTCAAGGAGTTTCTGCATGAAGCCTCCTCTTTGTTTTAGGTCCTGCATTTGAAAAAACAAGAGAATGCTATTCCACCGAGAGTTCACAAAACATGCCATTGTAACAGGCAGTAAAAAGATCTGATATTGTACTGGAAGAATCAGACACTGGCTCTGGTTTATGAAAGAATTTCCGCAAGAGGGACCAATTAATTCTATCCCCTTTGCCAGGAATCCAAGGTTACCTCTTCCCACTTGTCTATAAACCGGTTGACTCTATTGCTTTTTGACAAACAAATCCTAAGCTCAGCTTGGCAAATGGCAACACCACACACATAGCCTATTCTAATTAAACAATGTAGATGTTAAAAGGATGAATAGCATATCCGAGACAGAATAGCCTATCTGAGACAGAACTGCAACTTAACTACTACTTTTTGATGGGGTAATTCTGAGGATGAAAGGCACATATGAATATTGCCCTGTGCCATCTCTTTCTTTGGCTATTGAACAAGAGGAACAAACTCATGCAGTCTTGAGCTTTCGGGAAATCGTGGCTGTCAATTTCAACACAACTAATAAGTGACAACAGTTTCAAATTACCACTACCTGGCTATAATATGGCGTTTTAATTATGCTTGTTTAAAAGCTCTGTCCTAGAACTTGAGACTTAACAATACCAATGCAAATAAATCTTTATCAGATTTCCATAATCTGCTTCAGACATTGGCGTGAGGCCCAGAAATGCCCTAGTCATTCTCAGAAGCTGGTCTTCTGGCTCATGAGCTTACCATACGATCAACAACTTCAACATAGGCTTGGAAATTCAAGCGTAGGCCTGCCCTACCTCCACCATCCCTTTCTGCAAACGGAACATGCAAAAAGGAAAAAAAAAGAGAGAGAAGGGAAACTTTGCTTACCTGGTCCGATATGTTTAAGGGTGAAGTTTTCATCAGGAAACCGACTACCGTATATTGATTTGCCACCTGTTCCGTTGTGATTTGTAAAGTCGCCACCCTGGAAGGGATACAAGTTTTGTCAAAGTACATACACATAGCAACATATGCCTGTTCTAGCTGACTAACTTATGGCCAGATAGTACAATACAAAATACTGTATTTAAAGTGGTTTTAAACATCAGAGTTGCTAGCGCCGCAGGGTGGTTAGGAGACTGACCTACGAATGAGGTGAATTCACACTTCAAATCTCACTTCAGCCTTGGACCCACTAAGCCAGGCATAGGCAAACTCGGCCCTCCAGATGTTTTGGGACTACAACTCCCATCACCCCTGACCACTGGTCCTGTTAGCAAGGGATGATAGGAGTTGTAGTCCCAAAACATCTGGAGGGCCGAGTGTGCCTATGCCTGCACTAAGCAAACCTCTACCCTTTGCCTCCCACCTGCTCCAACAGGGAGAGGCAGCGGTGGGATGGGGGCTCTGTTAAAGTGCTCCCCCCCAGCTAAAAGAGCCCCGAACCCCGCTCCTGCTGGCATGAGAGGAGCAGGACCGCGGCTGCTCAGTTGGGAAGCGTGAAGCCTGCCCTTCCCAGGGGGATTCAGGGCTGGCTCCGCTGGGGGCAGGAGTTCATGGGGCTCAGCTGTGGCAGTTTCACCCAGCACCTTGCCAGCTGGGGCCAATGCAGCTTTTTTTCATCAACACAGTTTATTGCCACACTGTGACATCTGGCTCGCAATACACTGCGATGTTGAAAATCCAACATCATCCAGCCCTAGCTGTCATCATTCCTGACCATTGGCCAAGCTGGCTGGGGGGTGATGGGAACTGTACTCTAACATCACCTGGAAGGCAACAGGTTGGGAAACGCTGGCCTAGATTAATGCACCTATAAGGACTTTGGAGCATCACACAACAACAACAACTCTGCACCCCAGGAAAGATAAAAAACTGCTACTGAAAAATCGCATGCTTGGTTTGTTGTCACAGGGTCGCTGCCGTCATGCCCCAATGAAAAACTAGTACACTTTCATTTAGAGGAAAAAAGGTTCCTAAGATGATTAACCGTGGGTTATACTTGGAAGGAACTGGGAAATAATTACATCAATACCTTGGTTATACCTGAACAAGTGTGAAAGCACACCCTATAATTTAGGAGCATTTAAATTGTCAAGGTTCAGTACCTCTAATTTTGCCAATTAGCTACGTCACGGTGACTTCACATTTTAGTTATGAAATGACAGGCATTCCTACTACGAGTTTAGAAGATGAATGCCACAATCTTAAGAGAGGCTTAAGATCAGGTGCCTGCTTGGAGAACATCATAAACTCAAAATATTACTCCTAAGAATCTGTGGGAGGGAGATAAGAGGCAGGAGTTAGGAAGAAGCTTGTCATAGATACTGTGACACAAGCACCTACTGACAAATATTCCTTCTTATTTCAACACTATGAAGGAAGACTATTTGCATGTAAGAACTACTCTTTCCCTTCAACATCACGTCCTGCAAACAAGGAAACTAGACACTTTGGTTGCAGCCCATCATTAAACAGCTTAGATATTTGTCCCTAACCCTAACCAGGCACCACTGCCAGTCCTATGCTGCCTTAGATGAGGAAGAAAAAGTACGCAGCTGTGGAAGAAGGCAACATTATTCCAAAAAAAGAAGAAGGGGAGAAAGGTTTAAGGCTTGAGTAGAACAGGAACACAGTCTTGCTTCTTTGCAGATTGTTTGGTTTCCAAGAATCTGAAGCCCAGTTACTCAAGATGTAATTATTTTAAGGGCTTTCATCTCAAATGCATTCAAAGCCATTTGGCTACATACATAGTTGAAATGCACCCACTATGTGCAATAGGAAAAGCCACAATTCTCTAGGCCACAGCAAAGAAGATACTCAGATTTAACTTTGTCTTCTTTCTTTAAATCTAGGATATATAGTGGGGAAACTGGTGCCTCCTCCTGTTGTTGAACTGCAACCCCTATCATCCCTAACCATTGGCCATGCTGACTGAGGCTGATGGAAGGTCCAAGAAGATTTGGAGGTTCACAGGTTTTCCACCATTCTGGGTGTAACTAAAATCCTTTGTGCCTTATTTACAGAAATTTGGGATACATCTGCATCCAAATTAGAAGGAACTGCCACCTCACACATGCTTCAAGGTAAACAGTTTGCTGACTCAGCTAATTTAACTGCAATTATACAACAAAAATTTATACTCTTTCCAGGTTTGGTGTGGTTAAAAGACACCTGTGATATTTCTCTTTCAAATGTTTATTCTATTAATGCAAACACTAATGAAGATGATGATGTCAGAGATCAAGAACAAAAGATATACTTGCTGGTTTTTCTCCTACCAAAGCTCATTACAATTCCACACAAACAGTCAGCCCTTTTCCTAACAAATGGTCCCTTTAGTGAGACAGCCATTTGTTTTAGCAGAGGTAAAACAGACTAGGATTGTTTTCATAAGGCTTCTCCCAAAGCAAACTGGGCAATACCTGTTATTTATTCATATTAAACAATGATTTTCTACCAACTTTCTAGATGTATAAGTCTTTTCAGATGCAGTGTTGAAATAATACTCTGATATACCCGTTTCCTGCATTTGAAATGCCACATATTGGCAGAAGACACTGCACCAGAGATGCAGTTAACAAACAGCACCCTATCCCCAAACATTGCTTAAACTGCTTGTGGAGGCTCCAGTGAATATAGAAATCATGGAGGTAAACACAGGAAAGGGAAATATTGGGATCTGCCTATGTCTTCATTTAACTTAATTTTAACTACACCAATCGCAGCTTCCAGACTTCACTGTAAATTGCAGCTTTTAAAGTCCCCTCTTTGCCCTAGTGAAATTCATTGCTATTTGCCCCACCACCCAGAGGTCCTTGGAGAAAGGACACGACAGAAAACAAAAGGAAGTAATTCATTTCATTCCTTGGGAAATGAAGGTGTCATGCCTGTTACTGATGCTCCGTCTCTCTCTTTTATTTGATTGTGCCTGGTGGCTGGAGGACAGCACTTTGAGCAGTGATTTTCCTTCAAGTCCTGGTTTAGCCAGTGGTTGACAAAGTATCTCTCAGCCTGTTTTCCACCTCCCTTTTATTTTGATTCGCACGTCTGTCTGCTGGGACTGGCTTTCAGCAGATTGCCATAAAGGACTTGCCCTGCTACATATTAAATCCTGACCCTGATTCAGGTAGTCTGTGAATGATTTAGCAACCAGGATATCCACAAACATGCAAAGTGGATCCCTTCTTATAGAGCTGAACTCCTAAGACAGACAACTCTCCACAGCTGGCTGAAAGAGTTCATATCGCAGAAGCTGTCAGTTTGCCTCCTGTAAGATGCTAGCTCCACCACCCAGGTATACAGACTTTCTGAGAATTCACAAGATTATTACATGGCAATTTGACAGCTGCTGCTGCTGCTGAACACAGGGATACAATGCAAGAACTTTGCAGTGCTGCAGCAAAGGCTTTTCCTGGAAATTGCATTTCTTCCAATTACACCTCAGCTGCTCTTTCAAAACTTCAAGTGGCTTACTAAAAACCTCCAGTTTAATTACCTGGCACATGAAAGAAGGAATCACTCGGTGAAAGGTGGATCCTTTGTATCCGAAGCCCTTTTCTCCAGTGCACAGCGCTCTAAAATTTTCTGAGGGTGGAAAGGGGAGAAGGCAGCACTGTTACTAACAAGGAAGCTTGACAACCATGGCAAAACACTTTGTACAGCTATACAAGCAATGAAAACACAATCCATCCAATAGAGCGTGCTTCAATGCAATATTCTGAACAGATTTTTAGAAAGATTTTTTTTTGGGGGGGAGGGAATTATACCAGCGTGTCTGCAATGATTCCTACATTTAGTATAAACCTCCTCCTGCCACTCCTGGTTGCTGAAATTTGCATACCTGAAATCTGTAAGGGCAAAAGGGCCTTGACATTTTAGGCATGCAAATAGCTGACATCAATGCTGTGCAATTTTGCAAGCTTCAATGGAGAACCTAAGGAAAGGTGGCAAACTCAGGTCTGGACTATACCGCTTCAGGTTGTGGTGGGAGGCTGACATGTCTGAATGTACACAGAAAATCAGGGAGAAAAGGTTATTCCAGGTAACGCTTCTCCCCAGGGCGCTAGTTTTCCATATGCATTCCATCATGTCAATCCCCAGCTATAGACCCCAACTCAGAAACAGGCTTACCACCTGAGGGGAAAACAGGTTTTGGGGTGCAATGCTGCACCTTGGCGCTCAGGCCTAAAAGGATGGCCACAGCGCCCTGTTCCATCCCTGTTGCACAGATACTTCCTGCACCACACACTAAGGCAGCTCTAGAAGGGTCAGGACCAAGGCATCCCATGAAGAACGAAGGACTGCAGACAACAATGAGTTGTCAGCAGAATCCTAGTGCATTTGGTGGTAATATTTTAGGCATACCATGAAGCTCTTGACCACAGTATTGTTGTTTATTCTTAAATGTATTTGCCAATAGATACAGCTGGGCTGTAATTACCCTTCTTGGAAATTCTTACTTGCCTCTGAAAAAATTATAGTTGCCACATTTTAGGGATTCTTTGTCTTCTGCAAGAGGGGAAATGAGGCAAGCGCACAGGCACGCTCCATTGTGCGCAGGAAACTCTTGCACGTGCAGGATTCCAATATAAAAAGATGCTGGATTTGGCCCAATATTTGCACAAGCTTATCATCTTAATGTATTTTTGCACAGCTAAAAATCAACAGCAATGAACTGATGATGGGCACACAGACTCACAGAATGACGAGAAACTAAGGCTCACAATTACAGTTGCTCAATTAAAGAGGTAGGTCTACTTGAACTTGATTTCAAACACAGCCCTATACCTGTCTACTCAGAAATTAAATCCCACTGAGTCCAATGAGGTTTACTCCCAGGAAAAGTGGTATAGGATTGTAGCCCTGGTCACGTCATGAGTTTCTATGAAACAAGGACGTGAGTGCATGTTCATACAGATAATGTTCCTTTAAAGCTCCATGTCCAAGCAACCGCTCTTCTTTTTTGCTCCAGAGCTTGCCCCATGAAAACCCTCTCTTTAGAGCTCAATCAAACAGTAATCCATGGAAAACTTGAATTGATATTTGCTCCAACTAAATGCTAAAAGAGCTGGTTTTTGCAGGGAAAGTTTGGGGCAAAAGAACAACAACAAAAAAAGCAACTTGTACACAGAGCTTTTAAGAGAGAGCATGTGCCTGGAATGAGAAGGGCAAAAGGCAAGTGTGGATAAGCAAACACAGCAAGAAATGAAAAGATCAACATTGGGTAGGAGCAGAATAGAATCAACAGAACTATTCAAGTGAAAACTCAAGTTTATGTAAAATATGAACTTGGCTCGCTCAACAATTCTCTTAATTTTAGGATTCCAAAAAGTTGGGCGTATGTAATAGACAAAACCAAACCTGGAAAGGATCTGTGCTACAAACAGGGAAGATAAAGTGAAAAAAAATTATCTCCTTTATACGCCTTCCCTGCAACCACCTTGTTGACTAACTTTAAGACACTATTTTTGTTTCAGAAAAAGCATTTCAATTTCCCTTCATTTTCTTACCAACATTTCATAACCCTGAAAATTCAATAAGGAACTGGCAAAAGTATTGTCCTACCTGCAGTCTTTGGCACCACATCAGCTTTCAGCTATTAGGAGGAGAAAGAGAGAGAGAAAACACATTATCCAATGTAACATAAAATATATAATCCATTCTTTCAAAAAACAAAACAAAATAACACAGTATTAGCTAAAAGCAAAAAGATCTAACCTGCACCAAGTACCAACTTTATAATTCTACAATTCTATGAAAAATTAGTCAGCTCAGCAGAATTACTAGAAACCAGAGCTACACCAGCATTCACCAACTTCCAAATTCTCTGACACATTCAGAAAGCCTATTACAAACAGCCCACAATTAAAAAAAAAACCCAGTAGTTTCATTTTGAAACTAAAAAGGAAGAGGAAGGGCAACAAATCTCCATGTGTGAAGATTAACACACACAGCATAGAAATTTCACAACATGGAATTTTACTGCATTATATCCTTTCATCAGTTAAGTACTGTAGATTGCACTGGAGAAGGAGTTGTTAAAGATGCTTGCAATTACAGAAGAAGCAGCCCTAGCTCAATGTATAACTTTTTTATTCTGAACACCCTTGCCTGTGACCTGCTTGCTTAGCATCATGTGATGTTGTCTGTGAGCCTACTCACAATCACCTGAGGGTGTCATTAGGTCAATTTAATGACACAGGGTTTAACACTCATGGTTCTTGGAAGTGATCCTGCATGTAATTGCCTGTGGGAAGATTACAATGGAATGCTTCTCCCACATAACCTTCCCAAGTGATTCCCATATGCATGACTTGGCAAGCATTTAAGATCATCTTCTAGAAAGGTACATGGAAAAAACAAAGGAGAACCAATTTTTATACAATACCATCTCCATGTGCATATAAGCTTAATCAGATCACTGACAGTTACTTCATGTGTGAGCTGCTCAGACTTGCAACCTACAAGTGTAGCCTAGTAAAAAAAATTTTTAACACATATGTCTGCCTTCCAAGACGTCTTTGCTTTTGGGAACCTCAAATTTGTGAACATCGGATTTGGGGCACAGAGATACTATGGAGTAAAAAAGAATTGGCTCTCAAAAAGCTTCTGCTCCTGTTTACGTGAAAGTGATTTTGACTTGTCATGTCCAACCACGCTTGGAGATAGCCTTGACATTGTAAAGGATATCTCAGAAAAAAGTATTAATTGGATAAAAGTTGCTGCACCTATTTGTCTTTTCATATCTCCATAAATATCCTTGGAACAATTTAGTGTGATCCGATCATGAGCAAGCATTTCCAGACCGCAGTATTTGTACTGCCCTTATCATAAAAGGTATAATGGGCATATGTAAGAAGAGCCTGCTGGACCAGGCCAAAGGCTTGTCTAATCCCACATCCTGTTCTCACAGTGGCCAACCAGAGATGCTTGTGGGAAACGGGGGAGCAGAACATGAGCACAAGAGCACTCTCCTCTCCTGTGGTTCCCAGCAGCTGGTATTTGGGAACCTTGCTGCCTCTGACTGTGGAGGTAGAGCACAGCCATCATGGCTAGTAGCCACTGACAGCCCTTTTGTCCATTAATTTGTCTAATATTTTAAAGCCACCCAAGTTGGTGGCCATCACTACCTGTGGGAAAATGAGTTCCACAGCCCATGTGCTGCATGAAGATGTGCTTTTATCTGTCCTGAATCTCCCAACATTGGATGCCCATGAATTCCAATGTCAGATGGAGAAAAACTTTTCTCTGGCCACTCTCTCCATGCATAATTTTAGACACTTTGATCACTTCCCCTCTTGCTTGCCTTTTCTCTAAACTTAAAAAATCCCACATCCCGCAACCTTTCCTCATAGGGGAGTTGCTCCATCCCTTTGATCATTTTGGCTCCTCTTTTCTGATAACATCTTGACTCAGATAGGAAGGGTTGCTTTGTCTGAAAAATCAGCGGGGACTTGGATAGATAAAAGCATGGCCCAACATCAACTTCACTCCTATTTCCCACAAACACTCAAGTCCTGCAGTTTGCGCCTAATATTTTGAAGATTATTTGGTCCGAAAGAAAACATCTTACTTGCTTCCCCTATTCATTTTCTTTAGGACCAACATTGCAACCGTGTTTCTAGTGTATGTAAGATCTGTTGTCCAATAATCCCTATTGGAATATTAAATCAAAGACTCCAGGTGATGTCAACAATAAGTGGAGTTAAGTCAGTGAGGGAAAATAGCATCTCTCTTTGGTGTACCTGTGGGATCATTGCTATACATCCTGAAAAGAGAAGGACCCTGAGGTCTCCAAGCAATACATGAGGGACCAAAGACCTTCAACAACTTCTTTTAGCCTGTCCAATACAGTTCTCCCCCAAATTCTATTACACAGATATCATTTTCTCTCTTACTCTCAGTGTAAGCCACTAAATTAAGCTCGCCAAAGGAATTCATTTCAGACTAGCAGTCCTTTTGGGGGAGGGATTCTCTCCCCCAGAAAAATCACCTTTAGAATAGAAAAGAATTCACAATTCTAATAAAAATATCTTTTCCATTTGTAGGGCACATGCCCGAACCTGAACTTAATTCCTGATTACGGTAAGTTGTCTTGACACAAATGTGAGTTCATGGTTTGTTCCCTACTATCTCAAATTCAAAAGGTGCCATCCTATGGCTGTGTCAAGCTCTTACAGCAAAGGGTATGCAAAGAAGGGTTCTCTGTAGTTGCCAAATGTTACAGAATTCCCTTTTCTCTGGAGAAATGCCAATATCTCAGTTTCTGCCTCCAACAAGTAAACTTCCCTCAAGAGAACTCTGTTGAGAAGGAATGGGGTTAACTTTTATCTTGGAATATACATACTGTATTGGCATCAATAAATACATCAAAAGGGGATGAAAGACCCATATTTTCATCAACTAAATTCTTAATTGACAAATCATGTTTACAGTTCATTTGCTTAGAACAAAGCAGGTTGATTTATTCTAAGTAAGTGCCCTTGGCTCAAGGAGACATCCCAAAAAGGCACCTTGAAAAAAGCAACAAATAGTCAAGGGTACACTCTTCAGTAGTACAAAAGCTTAATGGGTATTCTCTAGGTTGCTATCTTTGGGGCCCCATTTTTCCCTGAAGAAATTCAACAATCTGAGTTAAAGAACTTTCACCCTGTTTGTTTTATAGACACAAGAGTTTTGCTGATGGGGAGGGAGAGGGCGTTAACAACCCTACTGTAACAAGCAGACTGTAAATTCAACAGGTGGTGACTTTCTTGCCTGCTCCTTGCAAAGTGAGAAGAACTCCCTTCCAAGCTGCAGAGTTTTGATAAGTGTCATTGGATCCCTTACACAACAAAAAAACAGCGATGTCTGTTAGCAACGCTGATACAGGCAAAGCTAAGCCCCCGACAGTGTAACGGTTAGAGAACTGGATACAGTATGGGGGCACCAGGGTTCAAATCCTCACTCAGCCATTAAGTTCACTGGGTGACCTTGGGCAAGCCACCGTCTCTCTGCCTAACCCACATCAGGGGGTTGTCGTGGGGATGAAATCGGAGGAGGAGGAGAACCATTGAGCTCCTGGGAAGAAAAGGCGGTCTCCAAATGCAATAAAGAAATAAAACAAGTTCGGCTGCCCTCCCCGAAACGCTCCAAGGGCACCTCAGGGACGCGGGAAGGCGCCAACCCCGCGCCCCCCGCTTCAAGAGCCCAGGGAGGAGGAAGCGGCGCGTACCTCCAACACGACCCGGCCGAGGGGCTGGTTGTCCGCTCCCACGTCCAGGTAAACCAGCGGGTTGTCGTCGCTGTCGCCGCGCTTGTGGTCGCTGCAGGCACGGCGGCAGGCGCGGCTCAGGGCGCCCTCGGAGGAGACCTGCAGCAGCAGCAGCTCCCCGGAGGCAGCGGCGGCCCGGCACTGCTGAGGCTGCCCCAGGAGCAGCATCAGGCGGCGGGCAGAGCTGAGCGCCAACATCGCGGTGGCTTGCCGGCGCGGAGGAAGGAAGAAGGGAAGGAAGGACGGGCAGGCGGCACCAAGCAAGCAGTCCTCCTGCGGTGGCTGGAAACGGAGCCCAACTTCGGCGCGGTCACTCAAAAGGCGGGCAGGCGGGCGCGCGTGCGTCTCTGTGCGTAAGAGCGGCCGGAACTGAACAGCCATCCGGCGGGCTCGGGCCCTTTTTAAGCGCTTCCTCCGCCTCCGCAGCGCCCCCAGAGGCGGGAGAGGGACGCTCAGGGAGCGCGGCTGCGTGAAAGGCGGCGGCAACGGCGCTTCATTCTTCGTGGCTGATTAAGCGCTTCGCCAGGGTGGGAAGCCCGCTTCTCCTCCTTTTCCTCTTCTTCCTCCTCCTCTCCCCCCCCTTACCTTTTCTTCACTGCTACTTCTCCCCCTCCTCCTCCTCCCTCACTTCAAATACGTGTTTTTGCTCAGGCGCTCAAATCCCTCCTCGGGCGCTTTCGAAGGTCCTGGCGGCCTTTGGCAAAAACCCTGCGGTTGTAGAGGTGGAAGGGACCCCCGAGGGTCATCTAGTCCAACCCCGAGCAACAAAGGAATCTCGGATAAAGTAATCCACGACAGGTGGCCATTCCCCACCCCCCCCACCCCGGCTTATAAACCTCCAAGGAAGGAGAGTCCTCTCATCTACTGCCGCAGGTTGGTTGTGCGAGGATGAAATGGGGCAAAAACAAACGAACAAGGACACTCGAGGAAGCCGGTTGCCCATTACTAAAATAAGCGCCTCGCCCCCTTAGTGTGGGGCAGAAATGGGTGGGAATGACTGCAGGTGCTGATAATGTAATAGTAACACACAGGACTTTTTTTTAAGCCGGAACTTGCTAGAACTCAGTTCCTGCATCTCCCAGGTGGGAGCCATTACCGTTATAAGAGAGCAAGGCAGGCGTTCATGGGGACCTCCAGCACCTCTTTTTCCGGAAAAAAAGCACTGGTAATACGTTATTATCATTATCATTATTATTATGTGCTGTAAACAACAATAACAGAAAGTTAAAAGCTGTACAGAAGGTGGGCTCTTACAGTCTAAGTTGGGCAGAAAACTAAAAATGGCCACCGTCTTCCTAGGGCTGCCAGCTTAAAGGGGGTGGGGGAATGCAGCTCAGGACTTTTTTTGGGGGGGGGAGCATAAATGTAGAGATGGGGAACCAGTAGCTCTCCCAGCTTAGGGCAGCCAAACTGTTAATACCAAGTAGCCCGCAACAATATCTCGCCAGAGAAATTGTGGGCCGCACATTGCCTTTTCACTCTTTTGGGGTTGGGCTGGAGCAAGGCCAAAATGTGACCCCCCCCCACTTGCCCTCAAGCTGCCTTCCCAAAGCTGGCAAAATGAGGCACCTCAGGCTCCCCATCTCTGCCTTAATGCTTCATTGAAAACAATTAAAAGCACGGGAACTTAAGATTTTCAAGCCAAATGTATTCAGGCTCTTCGTTTACTGGCAGACTCTCAGCCTTTTAAGAGCTGCCTACCTGACAGGCAGAAAGTCAACTGGAGCAGCTTTTTCAAGGAGTGGTTTTGATGTATTTGCTTAATTTGTGTACTGTGTTGTGGTGGAAAGCTCAGAGCTTATGCCAGAAGAAAAAGATGGCAGCTGAGGGCCACATCCTTTAGACCTTTGGTGCTTTGTCCCCACCACTCATGATTTATTTTTTTAAGGACTGAAGGGAACAATGGTCTTGACTCTGTGCAGAATTGCTTTCGTTTGCGAAGGGGATGTTTCCTTGTCTGCATGGAGATTTTCAGGCATGACTAGGTTGGTAGTGGTTCTGCATTGGCAGAGGGATGGTCTGGTATAAGGTGGCAGTCAGTTTCTCACTAGAGTGGGCGACACTGGCTCTGCACTGGACTGAGTGGCAGTCCAGCAATTAGGAAGCCAACACAGACATGAGCAGTCTTACTAAATGAGCCATTTCATGAAGGTGAGGGGAGAGAGACTTTGTGCTGGCCATCAGACAATGGCTTTTTCCACCTGCCTTACCCCACCGTCCAGCCCTAGCAGCCTTTCCCAGATCATGACTTTAGGAACAGCAGAAGCAGCTGGGAAGAGAAGAGGTCAGGGAAATTTTAAAAAATAATAATTTTATAAGTTGTGTGTCTTTGCTTCTCAATTTGTATTGTGTTATGCACGGTTGCTTGCTATTATTTTTATTGGTTATAGTTTAGAAATTATTTATTGTATTAAGAGCGAATTTCCATTTAATTATTGTTTGCTGATAATAATTTTTATTGTGTACTATTGCATTCTAATGGATGATTGAATATTACTCTATTTGATATATGTTTATTTTAAAGTTATGTTTTTGTTATGACATTTCTGTGTTGGATCAGATTGTTATAAGGTGTGCGGTGTTTGTGGTTTCTTCAACTTGTGAAATTGTAAATGAAGCTCTTAAAAGGTTCTACCCAAGCAAGAGGCCCCTATAAATGATCTCTTCCTCTCCACACCCCTGTCATCATTGAGAATATCAAATCATGTCAACAGTCCCCACCCAACAGATGGGAACCTCCCAGTTTGCCTATTTATTTTGGTTTTATGTACCTAATCAAAAAAGAAAGAAGGGGAAGAATTATTAACTATTTCTCCATTTTATGTAGGGGGGAAACCGTGCTGTGTTTTTTAATTGTTTAGCTAATTACATTGCAGTGGTTTCCCTTGACTCTACTATTTCCAGGTGAAATTATTTACATATACTTTCTCCATTATCAGGGCTAGGCCCAGAGCTGACCGAACTGTATATTTGACCTTTTTGCCTGGAATAGTGAATTAAAAAGAATTAAATGGAATTTGAAGATACCGTGAAGATTTTGTGAAATATACGATATATAAAGGCTGTTTTGTGCCTGTCATTCTGTGCATGATGAATCCCTTTCCTGTGCCTGCCAAGAATGCCGTGAGGGTTAGACAGTGTTGCAAGAGCCGTGCCTCTTGCTGAATTGGGGCTGTGCTTGCAGCACATCACATATAGATCATATATCAGACAATTACTTGTTTGGGAGTTGTGGGCTCTTTGTCCCTGTGAGAGTTGACTGTCTGATTGACGCAGCACACGAAGTGTTTAAGAATCTTTGGGGAAATGTCATGAGCAGACTAATGATATGTTATACGCTAGTGTGAAGAAGCACGTAGTTGAGAGTAAATAGTTTCTAATCATCACATGATATATGGCTGCAGTCATTTAAATATGTAAGAGCCAAAGCCGATAATTATCTGTTGTGATACAGTGTTTATATAGAGAATAAATAAGTGAAACGTTCAGGGCTGTTTGTGACACAGCTGTTTATGACGTCATGCATTTTCAGAGCGCTTCACAAGGTGTTCCAAGTGCTAAAGATCTTTCATAATCTTTTCAGTGATTCCTCTTCCTTACCAAGGTAATGATTTGGAAATTAGCCATGTAGCAACTACATTCCATTGTTATAAACCACCTTTCCATATAATGGAAAGTTTCATTCAGGGTTTCCCAAACTTGGGTCTCCAGCAATCTTTGGACTACAACTCCCATCATCCATAGCTAGCAGGACCAGTAGTCTGGGATGATGGGAATTGTAGTCTGAAAATTGCTGGACACCCAAGTTTGGGAAACATTGATTTAGTTTCTTGTGCATTGGAATGACCAATACCCTCTGTGCTCAGGTTACAGGTTTAGGCCTGAGATCAAGGAACACTTTTGAAATACGTTTTTAAATTTTTTAATTACTTATAAAGGTTGACTTAAAAATAGCTGGAGACGTGTGTTCCATATATCAGAAAGTTGTATGTGAGTACAAGATGCATGAATTCTAGGGAAAAGTTCCAGAAGCTTTGCTCTGTGTGGCTCTTGAGCTAATATTTAACCAACTTCATAGTCAATGTGATTAGGAAAATACAGCTTTAAAATGGTCCTTATGGCAAGGACATCTGACACACTTGGGTCAGGATTGGTGCTTTCAGAGACCTTTCTAGCAGTTTGCTGTTGTGATTTGTCAGTCTCTTCTTTAAACATGTAGTTGACTTCATTGCCCCTTTCCATTTTAAAAAATGTATTTTAAGAAGTTTTTTATCAGTGACAGTGACAAATTTCATGTATTTTAAAACAAGAACTCCACTGTCAGTTTTGTTTAGAAATTATTTGATAGTCTGTCAGTGCCACATCAGAGTACTGTACTGATACCAAAATTACTAGAGCTTTACTGGGGATATGGTGATTTATTTTATTTTTGTCATAAAATTTGATTGTAAAAAACCTTGAAGCAGTTTCCAAAAAGAATTAAATAATGATAAAATACAGTTAAAAGCAGCTATTTAAAACTTTAAAATTATAATCGGTGATAAGCTTAAAAAGGGTTAACACATGTGTAAACATTCTACATGGTAGGCTTGTCTGAACAAAAGTGTTTTTAGCAGGCACCCAAAAGAGTACAGTGAAGGTGGCTGCCTGATGATAAAGATTGTATGGCATTTGCCTGCTGTTTTGCAAATTCAGGGCATCAGTTAGGAAAAAAATAGACATTGGTTCTGAACGGAGGCTCCTTCACTATGACCTGTTCATTGAAAATTCACTCGGATTTGCCAGCTTTAAGCCTACATGGAGATTAGACTATTCCCAGTCTTTATTGAGTATTCATTATTTGTCTGCAGGGAGGTTATACAACACTGAGGATTCATAATGGTTTGCTTGTGCAGTGTTGACAATTCATTTATCCATCCTTTTTCAGTGCCTTTTCCCATTGCTTCCCGAACCACAAAAATTCCTTTAAAAAAAATTAAAATCGGATTTGTTGTAGCAAGGCAACAGCGCACTTTCAGGAGTAATTTGGGTGAGTGGGTGGCATAGCAGAGCCAATACTGCTTACCAGTAGGGAGGAGGGTGATAGGACCATGTGCCCTCCGCAACTGCTGTTGAGTGCTTTAATTCACTTTTATTGCACAAATCTAAATTTCTAGTACAGTATGTACTTAAATCTCTCCTGCAAAACACTGAGAGTCTGAAGGTGACCAAAGTCTACATTGCTTTTGTAGTCAGTTTTGAGGCAGGTAAGACATGGCAAGAGATGCTGGCTCTTGCATGAGTGGAGTAGCAGTGATGAAGCTCTGATGTCAGGGAGGAAGTGATACAAACCAGGGAAGTAAAGGTGTAGATGAGGTTCAGCAACTTGAGAGCCGCTCCCAAAAGGTAGCAGGTTTGAGACTACCGTCCCTGGATCTAGGGCGGAGGGAACAGTGACAGAGATATGAAAGATGTGCAATATTAAGCCTGTTGTACCTGAGAAGCATGATTCACATCTGCATTGTACTCTGCTTTTGAATGAAGAATTTTTCAAGAATTTCTGGAACTGTGATAAATTTTCCATACGCTTAGCTGTAATGGCAGAGTCCATTATCATGGTGCACTGTTACTCATGTGCCAGAGTAGCCTCCCTTTGACTCCACAACACTGTCTGGTAGGAAGAGCCAGTCCATCTCAGTTCTTACCGCCTTTTAGAGGTGATTACTGGTGTTAATTGTGTCTTCCTCCACCACCCATTGCTCACATGGGTTCCCCCTCATTGATCAATTGCCCTTTTAGCTGTCAGTCATCCCAATTAAACAGCATAAAAAATGGCACCACTTGGTTGTTAAACTTCAAGCAAATTCAGAGGCTGCCCACTGCAGAAGTGACCATAGATGCAAGTCTTTGTTACGTTTATTTGCCTAATGTAGGACTAGATAGTTTTATACTAGATTACAAGTGAATGGCAGCAGGAAGAGATGATCATGGCAGGACACCTGTTGCCATTGGGCTACTTTACGGGGTTTGCGCTGAAACAGCATGTTGCTGTTCATGGAAGGAATATAGTGCACAGTTTATGTGAATATGCTGTAATATTGTTGCACACCACCGCAATCTCCGGGTGGTGCAAGATTTCAGGAGTTTCAGGTGCTCACCTGGGGTTCTTGTTTCCTTTTGGGAATGACGCACAGCAGAGTCTGTGGGTCCTTTGTGAAATATGGTTGATTTACACATACATACAACCTGAATCTATGAGGGAGGGGTTTGCAGCATCAACACTCTAAGGGGGTCTTGCTCCTCCCATAGCTGCAGCCTTGGATTCAAACAGAGACCATCCATTGCTCTGCCTCTCTAGCTTTTGAGCTTGCTTCCTTTCTTCTATTGTGACATCACTCCTAACCTCTCAACTCTAGCTTTATCTGTTGTGGGCAGGGGGTCCTACCAATTTTCTGTCTCCCACCAAGCCCCTTTGATCCTTTAATGGCCCATTTCCTCAATGGCAATCACTTCACAAGGAAGCTAGCCTGGCTCAATTTACTTTTTGTTTTTTTTTTTTAAAATATTTTATTAAGGATTTTCTTGTTTTACAGGCTCAATTTACTTTTAACACTATCTAGATCCAGGTTTTAACCCCTCAAGCCTTTATTAAATTCTAATGCTTGATGAATCTGGGAATTATAGGAGCCTAGCACCCACAAACTCTTAACAGTGTGCATGTGGTGGTGTAAAGTAGCAGCTCATATCTGCATTGTGGGGATGAGCAGAGGAAGCATGTCTTCCCTTGTGGATAATTGCCAAAATATGTATATATGTGAATAAATTTTCTAAAGCTTACTTCAGGTCTAATGGGCAGGATCCACTGAACCAGTTTAAGCATGCCCAAGGTCGTCTTGAGTGTGCCTGCGGGGATTTCTTTCTTTCTAGGCATGTCCCATGTCATGCCATAAGCTGGTTTTGAAATTCCTCTGATTGAAAAATGTTTTTCTGTGTTATATGAAGGGCTGCTGTTCAAGAAATACCACCCAAAGATTATTTGGGCACTCAAAACTTTTGTAGCTTCTTTGGATCCTGGCCTTACATGATAAACCAAGAAGAACCTTACATTAGCTTAGGTTTACAAGATGCAGCTCAATTCTGGAATAAAAAACAATGTTTATTATTATGTAACTAGTTATATGCCTAATCCAAACTGTGGGTGATGTTCAGCATTTTATAGCTTTTGTAAACAGAATAACACAGCATGCTGCATGGTGAAATATTTTGAGACAATTTCTAAATTATTTTCTCCAAGGAAAACATTTATCCGCTTAGGGCGCCGTGCCAACCCTTGGCTGGCAGCAGATGGGACTGATGTAATGGTGCAGTGCATGCTGCATGCGCACAGCCCCAGAGCGTCTACACGATGGGATGGAAGGTGTCCGTTTGATGAGCCAGCTCCCAGGCTGTTGCAGCAAAGAGGCCTAGACTGGGCCCACTGCTGTAACGTGATGGCAGCAGAGTCCACACAGGATCCAGTAGAACCGGTGGAGGCCCAGTCCCAATTCTGAAATGCCCTGTTTGAGTTGCTTCTGCTAGTGGTAGCTTCTGTCAACTATTGAGCAGGCAGAATGGGGCACCGGCAGTAGCTGGCAGAACCAGGTAGGGCTGGGAGGAGAGACATCGCCAATCCCACAGCAGCCCTAAAATCCCGAAGCTTGGGTCAGCCTCTCTCTATTCAGGATGTTGCTTATTCTATTCTAAAAAGGTATCGGATTGGCTTCAGCAAATCTCACAAGAGACCTTGTATAGATACAGACAGTTCCTAATTTTATAAATTTCATTTCCCACCTTAATGATGTTTCTTGGGCCCAAAACACTTTGGAGTAAGAAACAACTTGTGGTAAAACTGCAGCTGTTCTGGCCTCTTCCAACATCATCAACACCACACACACACACACACACACACACACACAGACACAGAGTTTCTGGTCAATTTGCATAACCAGTTATCAATGTGGGAAGAGGAAGGCTGTGAGTGAGTTTCTTTGAAGCTAGAAACTCTTGCAGCATTTTTGAAAGGGAGTATTGGGAACAATTAGGAATCATTCTTCCTCATCCCTCAGAATTTGATGAATGACTATGAACCTGCTATCTGTTACTGGAAAGTCACTAGAAAATCTAGTACTGCATCATGCCCAACATATTGCACATAAAAGAGCAATAAAATTGAGTGGCACCTATATCTCAGAGGGAACCTTGACTTACATAACTTTGGCTACAATCCTAACACCAATTACTTGAGAACAAGCCTGATTGAATTCAGTAGGACTTACTTCTGCATAGACATGATTAGGATTGTGCTGGAAATGTTGAAAGGCAAGTTCAATAATCTACTCTTCCTCAGCCCTCCAAATTTGATTGAGGACTATGATCCTTCTACTTGTTACTAAAAAATCACAAGAAAATCTAGGACAGATAACTCCCAACACAAAAAAGTACAAGAAAATATAGTGGCACCTAGGACTGCTCAGAAAGAAGCAGACTTGCATAAGTAAATGTTGAAAGGCAATTCTAATTAGCCCCTCTACATAACAATGTCTGTGGAGAAAATTGCAACTAATTTTTATACTGACTGTACCAAATGCTATTTTTCCAATTGTAGAGGGAATCTTCTCTCACAATGAGTTTTCAAAAGAGCCATGCCAATATGGAACAAAATGTTCTGAGGTATTAATTCTCATAACAATCACCTGCCGAGTCATGTGGGAAAGCTGTCCTCTCCCATGTGGCTTTTGCACCTCTGTAATTTGTGTTTTGAGTTCAGTCACGTTGGATGTTCTCAATGTTTTGGAATTCAGGATGCTAAGAGCATTATATGATGTATGGAAACTCAGAGCTTTTGTGATTGCTGGATCTGGCTGGTTCTAAACTAACCAAGAGGATTTAAGAAAAGTCCAGGGGCTTAATCATTCAATAGAAGTGTGGTATAGAAATCTCTGTATAAATTAAATTAATATCTACTTGCACATTCATTGGTGCATAAAGAAAGCTGGTATGACTTTTTTCAAGTGCCTTTAACACTTGTGTAACAGACAGAAATTCAACAGGCATGTATTTTCTCAGTATGGAAGTCACAGCAATGTCATATCATTTTCTTGTTGAATTTCTATGTCTTAGGCAGCTATTAAAGACACAGGAAAAGAGAAGATTATAACTAAAATAATTCTTAAAAATATGATCCGTAATAGTGATTGCTTTCTTTTTATCTGCTGCTATGCTAATCAATATCATTAACAACTTTCTGGGTTGTGCTTTGCTATCGGTTTGCTATAATGTCATCTTCCCTCTTGCCGCAACAAAGTTTGATAGAAAGATGTTAAGTTTTAAGATAGGGCTTTACAGTAACATCTTGGGATCACCTGCTTTTCAGAGGTGAGATAGCCACTTCAGCCAATAGATTTTGAGTACCTTGAAAGGTGCCAAACACATCTGAGCCATGGGGCACAATCTGCCAGGAAGAAATGAAGAACTATTCAAGAGCTTGTTTCTTTGTGTGGTGGGATGTGCTAGTTCTCCTTTGTGGGTACCAGTCTGGCAAACTTTTATACTGCTTAACAAAGCAAGCCCTTCCTATAGGACATCTTTTGTAGTTGGAACTGTGTGAGAGAATTTGGAACTTGCTCAATCTCACATGAAAAACATCAATTAAAAATAGGACTCAGACATTTCTGGGGAAAGCAGCAACTAAAATTGTGTGCTTGTCTACTTTCTACAAGGTAGTTCTGCTTGCATCTCAACGTGCAACCTCTATTTAACAGAAATGACAACAGCAGAAACCAATGTATGTCTGCTTGCTAATGCCAGCTGTGACACACTTATATACCCTCCCCAACTGTCTCTCACCAAGCTTCTTTGATCCTTTAATGGTTAAAAGAATAGTAAGCAGTGTATTTCAGATACACATTAACACCACGATTGCACGTGCTGATTACCTGGTTACCTCATAACCTGTTCTCCAGGTACTGTCTGGTGTGTGTAGGTTAGCACTTGTAAATCAAGAGTGCTCACTGAACCAATTAGCAAGCTGCCTTAGGCATTCACAGGTTATGCATCATCGTCTCATATACCCAAGAATGAGGTTGCACAAAGGAAACTATAGACTAATAAATGAAAATAAATACTTTTGGAATCCTTTTGTTGGTCCTCTGGTTGTAGGCATGGGAACTTTTAGAACAAACCAACCTGAAAATTTAAAATGTAGGCAGCACTGGCCTAAGGATGTTTACTTCAAGTAAAGTCCCAGTGAGTTCATTGGCATTTCGTTCCTTAAGACTGCAGCCCAGTCATAAGCAGGTATGATGCACTAACTTAAAGTCCCTTGAAATAATAGGGATGGTAGCCATAACTGCTTGTGTGAGTTCTAGGCAGTACTACCAGAATGAAACTAAAGTCGTTTGTGGGTTTCCAGTTTCTCATTGGGAACTCCCTCTAACCAGCTTTGGCTTCCTATTACCAAACTTACTGCTGAAATCCTTGAGGTAAATCACAAAAGAGTCTCAAAAGATTCCAAAATGAAGTACCTAAACTGAAGTAAGCAACTTTTTAAATTTCTTTAAAAATGAATGTTACTTAGCACACAGACACACGAGACAACCATCACACCTGGGATAAAAGAACTCAAGGAAGGAATGGGGAAAGGGAACAATTCGTGGAGTGGGGCAAAGAAGGGGGTAGGGTAATAAGGCCAGGGGTAATTTATTGAGTGTGGCGTGGTTAGCGTGCACTTACTGTGTTGACATTTGTTTAATTCCAGGCACTGTCAAATATCTCATCGCACATCTCTTTGCAAAAATGTCTCTTCCCGCCTTGCTCAGGGTAAAAGGTAAGTGTCCTGCTTCATCTTTACTTTTCTCTCAGAGTGAGAGGGCAAGCATGTTCTTAATCCAGCAGTCTAGTTTAAGTGTAGGTACATTTCTTATGTTTAGTCCTTTTCATGGTCCTTTTTGTTTGTTTGTATCTCTAATGCTGCATAGTTTGATATTTTGATTATTTGCTGTAAGCAGCTTTGGGCACAACTCAAGTTGTGGAAAAGTGGCATATAAGTGAATCCATCTTCAGTCTGTCTTCTCCCTCACATGGCTATAAGCCTGGGGCCTCTTGCTCCTCACTCTGCTCGCTGTCATCTCTGTTGCCAGCTTCACCGCCTATCACATTTTCGGGAAGATAACCTCTGCAGCAGGGTGCTTGCTGTCCTTGTGTAGACTCCCTACTTACTGAGAACCCAGATCTTACACAGGTAGAGGCAGCAGCTTCCTGCTGCACAAGTCCCTTTCTCATCACGTGGCAGTCAGTGAAATGGGTGGAACAGGTGGGGTTCTCCTTCTCATTGTCCTGTGAGGCTTGATAGCCAAGGATGGCTTTTGCAGAAACCTATTTTAAATATCAAGAGGGGAACTTCTCCAGAATTTGAATCCCAAACATACCCCGTATAATGGTGGTGAGGTTAATGAAGCTTCCAAAATCATATGTAATTAACCTCCTGCATACCTCTGTCCAGATTTTGTACTGAAGAGAATTAGGTCACATGAATTAATATGCCCAGTTCAGAATTACATCTCCAGCAGATGCTAGTTGTTATGGGAAGGGCTGTGGCTCAGTGGGAGTGCATGTTTGCATGCAGAAGATCCCAGGGCATCTCCAGGGAGCCCTGCGAAGGACTCTTACCTGAAGCCCTGAAGAGCCAGTGCCAGTGAAAACATCCAGAACTAGATGGGCCAACTAGATGGACATATATCTGACTTGATACATGCCCACCTGGCATGGTATCATATATTAATAGCAGTCTGTTATCTGAGTTACCAGGGACGTGGGTGGCGCTGTGGTCTAAACCACTGAGCCTCTTGGGCTTGCCAGTCAGAAGGTCGAATCCCTGCAACGGGGTGAGCTCCATTGCTCAGTCCCAGCTCCTGCCAACCTAGCAGTTCGAAAGCATGCCCCCCCCCAATGCAAGTAGATAAATAGGTACCGCTCCGGCGGGAAGGTAAATGGCGTTTCTGTGTGCTGCTCTGGTGTTGGTGCTCTGTTGCGCCAGTCATGCTGGCCACATGATCTGGAAAAACTATCTGCGGACAAACTCCGGCTCCCTCGGCCTGTAAAACGAGATGAGCGCCACAACCCCAGAGACGTCTGCCACTGGACTGTCAGGGGTCCTTTACCTTTTAATCTGAATTACCAGTTCTTATTTAACCAAAATGGTACCACCCATGCAGAAGAGGGAGAGATCAGTATGCTTGAGAGAACTGAGAGGTTTGCAAGAACTACGCAAACTCTTGGGGTGGGGGCAGTTAAGGGGGTACTTAGAAAAACAACAATTCCAAAATAGTATAATGAGGACTGAGCGTGTTGAGTGGGCAAAGAATTGACAGTGCTGCTGCTGCAGGGAAGAGGATTGTCAGCAGCTGGAGGTGGGGGCAAGAGAAGAGGATTGATAGTGGTATGGTCTGTTGGCCAGACCATGCTGAGGACCCCTTGAAATCTGGTATCAGCCCTGCTTCCTGTAGTGCAATGAATCTTTCCCATAGCCTCCTTTGCTATTCATCAAGTAAATATACAATTGTGTACATAATAGGCATAGAACATGATCTTCATTAGGACCAAGCAGTATTATAAATACCAGATAATGAATTCCAAGATCTTGCAATGCTTTTTTTTTTAAAGAGAAGTAGGAGGAAGTTCAGATTTACAAAACATTTGCCCACTAGTCCATCCATCATTTTCCAAATTTATTTAAGAAAAAAAATAACATGAGCAAAAATGAGAGTACTTTCAGTGTTACAAGAAAGTATATAAATGTCTAGCAATAGTCAATCTGATTTTTTTAAATACAAAATAACCACATGAACACCTAATATACAGGTTTCATTTGAATACATATTTATTAGATAAATATTAGGTTGTCACATCATCTAACTACATACAGTTTTTCAAGACTAAAAATCACAATTATTTTTTCTGACCAGTTTTAAAGTATGAAATGATTGCATTGTACTGTACATACAATGTACAAACAAAGACAATGGCCATTTTTGCATGTTAATTCCGATTGTACTTTTTAAAATTCTCCTCTGATCACAATATCAAAAAATTGTACAAAGTATGAATTTGGTTACAATCTTTTTTATTATTTAATCCCCTTATTTTCTTCATTATTTTTGTAGCACCCTAAAAATACACAGGTGATAAGACTAGTACATTTAAGCTAGTTATTACATGAAGGGAAAAACAAAAAATGCAACAAAATTCTTTTCACAAAGGATCCAGAGTATATTACAAGAAGTGAAACAAATGTGGAGACTTCACAAACGCTAACAAACAGGATTCATTTTCCACATAAGATGGAGCTTCAAGCTTTATTTTTTTCCTGCGAAATAAAAACAATGCACATTCCAAGGAAAATGAATGCATTTCTGTTAACATGTCTCTATTTGCCATTTACATATGTACAGATGTCCCTGGAGTCTCCACTGCAGACATTAGTGTGTTTTCATAATCCTCTAATAATAATTAATAATAATAACAACAATAATAATGTCTTGGCAGTAGAAGTATAAATCTCTGTGGGTTCTTTTCCAGGTGGGTGTCTATAGGGAAACAATTAAAAAAACAAAACCCCAAAGCAAATGCCCCTGAAACAAGGATTTTTTAAAAATAAAATAAAAAAACCTTTGGTGATATAATTTTGCCCTTCAACACAAAAACAACTAATTTACAGAACAATCCTATGTATGTCTACTCAGAAGCATTCATCAGGGTTTTTTCTCAGTTAACTGTGCATAGGATTGCAGATTTCTTAAACAACACTATACCAACTTGGTGGGCCTTGTTTCTGAGAAGCCATGCATGGGGTTGCTATTTATTTAACAGGTTTTCTCCACATTATAACATGATGGCAGTGAGCAGATAAGAAAAAACCATCAACCTTTTTTTGTTTTGACTATCCTTAAACAGTCCCAGTAATTTAATAAGATGCTAATGTGGTCGTGTGAGAGAGAAAGTTGGGGGCATTCTGGGTTGACTTCACAAAGGCTGCCTCTTTGATAAATATGCCCTTTGATAAACTATTACGCAAGTACATGGCTAGATCTCAGCATCTGCTTCCATCCGTTCACAAACACAGCTCAGGTAGCCCTTGTGCATAGTCAATCTGTCTCTTTCTACTAATCAGTGTACATGAAATCCACAGCTGCCAAAATGTGCATTTAACTGTTACTAGAGAGAAGATTTCATCAAATGATAGAAAGCCTTATTATACCAAATATGTTTGTCTCAGGTGAATCTCACCTTATGCCTCCTCAACAGGAACCTTTTTATAACGATGCATATTGATTGCCATCAGCAAAAGCTAAACAATTTTGACTTTAAAATGGTTCTGTTTCCAGTTACACAGAAACCCTCCCCCCTCAATTTTCAAGTAACTAGTTTTGATAGATGCATATCTAACAGTGGAGGAGCAATGCTAAAAAATAAAATAAAATTCAGTGCTAGAAGCTGAACAGGCAAACGCACAGTATATGGCTTAACATAGGCCTACACAACTTGTGATCCATCAAACTGAATGCAACCCACCCACCATGTATTGTAGCCTACCAGTTGCTCGACTAAGAACATAACAACTCTGCTGGAGAAGGGCCAAGGTTCGTCTAGTCTACTAGTCTTTCACTAGTGGGTCTCACCTGATCTGAGGTGTGTCACAACAGGAGCACTATCACCATGCAAATATATGGCAAAAGATTAAGAAATGGATCCCCAAATGCATGTTTGAGGTCTGGGTCTGAAAGGTTGAAGACTACTGATAGTCCATCATTCTGCTTTCACAGTGGCCAATCAGATGCCTACAGGAAACGCACAAGCAGGACATGAGGACGGCAACACTCTCCTCACTTGTGATTTCCAGCAACTGGTATTCAGAGGTATTTTTATTTATCTTTTTTCTTTTTTGCTTTTTCAACAAACAGTGGAACCGGAAGCTTTATTGCACTACTGGTGGGCCACAATACATGGCAACAACAAGTGTGTGGCATTCGGTTTAGAGCTCATAGATTGTGTGTGAGAGGCTTTTTTAAAAATTAAGAATAATGTGTCAGATTATTAGCCTTAGCTGCTCATACAAATGATTTCATTGATTATGTAAATGATGCAGCAAAATGGTGCAGGGGGAAAGCTACTAAAATGAAAAGAAAAGAAAATGCATTTTTAATGGAAGGAAGCTCTAGACTTCAGTGTCACAGTGGTGTCCCATCTCAGTTGTGCCACCATATAATAGTTGTGGCACCAGGTGTCCAATAATAAAGATCCTTTGCTATGTATATACAGGATAAGAAACTATATTCTGTACTGCTTTCCCCTCTTCTACGCATAGGCCAGCATCCTTTTCAGAGGGATGTAAGTGAGAGCCTTAGAAATAGCTTCTTTGCCTACAAAGCAGAAGTCTAGGGTGATACAGGTTAGGACAGTCACACTTCCTAGCTCATAACAATTTCTTTGCTGGGCTGCTGAGGACACTGGCCAGATGTAGAATATTTGTTGAAGAAACTGATAGGGCTAATTTATCAGAAGGAAAAATTGATGCTCCCTTAGTCCAAGAACCCTTTACAAAAAGAAAAAAGAAAAAGAAAAAAGAACCCGCTCTCCCTATGTATTTTAAAAACACATGTATATTCAGATTGTGAAAATGTTGAATATAATAATCAAAGACAATACTAAAATATTCACAAAAGGTATTTACAACAGCAATTCTTAAAATAATTGATCTTGCATAATGAACAGCGCTTCTCTTGAAAAAAGGAACAAAATAAAAACCTCAATAATAAGGGTGGGGAGGGGAAAGGTAAATGTAGGAACATCTCTACATAAAATGTTTACAAATTCAACACTCCTAACTGGAAAATAATATAAGAACTAAAACTGCCATTTCCTGTAATATCTACAGCAAGGTGCTGTCGACTAGCATATATATATAACAAGATGCAAATACAGCAGTGGTGGTAGATGCTAAGAACAAATGCTCAAAGAATTTACAAGCATGACTTTGGTGAGGAGAGCAAATTCAGAATGAAATGCACAGGTCATGCCATTCGCAGAGGGCAAGGTGGGTGGAGTTTACACACTGAAACCAACACGCAAGAGTTCCATCTGGCACAAAACGAAAGCCTACTGCTGAAATCAAAGATGGGACTATTGGATTGGATTCCGAACAGGGGACGAAGCAATCAAGGTGTATTATCCACAAAAAGCAATATTCTGTACACAGTAGGCAGAAGATGAAATGTTGGCCCGCAAGGGCAAAGTTGGCACACATGCACGTCTTAACACACAGGTACTATACAAAATTTATAAAGAGAGAACGACGGAGAGGACGCAGAAATGGGCCCAGAAGTGACTGGAAGCTCATGCAGGAGGGAAGCAACCACATGAGAAGCACAAATACTACGGAAGCATTGTGGCACGAGAGCCTGCTGTACGGTGGTACCAAAGGAACTTACTGTTCCCGTGCCCATTATCCTTGGAAATATATTTTTTGAAAAGAAGAGGGAAAAGGTCCTGGCAGCTAAATGATACAATAAAACTGAAGAAGAGAAATTAAAAAGGCAGAGCCACATAACACAATTTGGAAAATGCAAAGCAAACCATCGGAGGGTGGGGGGAGAGATAAGGTGACTCTTATTGCAAACGTCTCCTTCAATTCCAAACAATTGTGAACAGTTTTCCCCTCTATCTCTCTCCCCGCCCCCAAATATCTTGAAGTGAGAGCTCTTTTTCTCCACACTTTTGCTACATTTTCCTGTTAAGAACGGAGCAGTGATCTAACTTCGCAGGCTACAAAAATCGAAAGCTCTTGGTGATGGATCAACGGTTTACAGTTTTTCTCTTCTCCTACTTCATATGTGAATATGGTCTGCCCCCTTTTAATAGATGGCTGCTTTATTGTCACAAAAGGCAGTAATCTGAAACCAAATCCCTTAAGAAGAAGAAAAACAGAAAGGGAAAGAGAAGGACAGAAGAAAACAAGGTGTCCACGTATCTGTGTCAGAGCAAGGTAACTACCCTTCCTCTAAGAATAGTAAAAAAAAAAAGATTGCTACGATTTAGAAAAGCACGCTTGCCATACCCTGGAGATTCACTGGACTCTTCCACAATGGAGAAACCACTGTCTTAAGAAACAGATGCCTCCCTTGGCTGCATTTTGTATTTTTATCCTACTTGTGACATCTTTATTGGTTTTTTTGTGCTTTTTGGTATTTGTTTTCTGTTTCTGAGTTTGTTTGGCTAGTCTAAATGTGCTGCCAAATAAGTTTTGTCCTTATTGTGTCCGACAGAAGTGTACTGGGAGAGGGAGGGAAGGAACATAGTGGAACAGACAATACAGCATTAGGGCAGGAGGGAGAGAGAACTTAATGGAAGAACACAAGTTGGAAGGACTTTCTGAAACTGGTCGCTTAGCATAGTTCTGTTGCCTTTCTTCCCTTGCTGAGACTGGTTTCTACTGGGCTGCTTCTCTCTAGGCATATCCCAAAACTCTTTTATCTCTCTGCATAATTAACAAGTGAGGTTTTCCACAGCTGCACAATCGATCTGTGAAGTAGAGTGGCAGTCTGTGAGGTCACCACCTTACTGTCCTCTTGCTTTTCCCCACCGCAGTTGATGAAGCTTGACTCAAGCAGTTCTGAGATGAAGTTAAGTAGGGAGTGTGCACCATTTGCTTAAGTTGTGAGTTTGTCCTTGTGAAAAAAGGGTGGCTTGGGATTCCTCACCGTGAAGCTACAGACTTGTCAAACAAGTGTGAGGTGTTGGGGACAAAACACAGAAGGCTTCAGTTGTTCTCAAAAAGAGAAAGAAGGTCATCATTGCTATTGCTTGGTAAGTCAGGAGGATCCAAGTATGAAAGTAGCTCATCTGGATTCGTGAGTTCTGGAAGCAGCTGGAAAAGAAAGAGGAAATTTTGAAGGCAGCATCATCACAGGGGTGAAGTAGCTGGCAAATGGCATGTTCGCTCCACATTTGCTGGCAGATAAAGCTCTCAAAATGTGTCTGTAAATTTTCTTGATGGGTAGAGAAAAGAGTCCTTTATATATGATAGCCAGCCCAAGTACAGGAAGAATTTCCACTCCAGCGCTACATGGCTGTTGGCACTGCGATCCTCCATGTAACTGAAGCATTATATGGGCTCCTGTGCCAAGAAACACTTTTCTGAGTGGCCCCCTCCCTACCATATAAAAAATTCTCTACCCCTACAAAAAAATCGCACGTGGTGGGGGGAATCTAGCTCAAATCTCTCTCCCTAGCATGTTGCTTTGTATGCACAGGGGAGCTTTTCATGGGGCAGAGCATTCAAATATTCACTCCCACCTGAAAAGGTGCAGTTCAATAACACACAGGGCTTCTGCCCATTTGTTTTAGCTCTAGGACACTCTGACATGCCTTGTAAGTTATTTTGGGCCAAGGTAGTACTCAAGTGTGTGGCAGAAAGCCAAGATGAGGTGGTACAGCAGCCTCACAATATTATGGGCAGTTTTCCACTGTGGTCAACGTATCTTTGCCAGCCACTCTGAGAGCCTTTACAGGTGAAAAGCAGGTTAAAAATACTGCAAATAAATAAATATGGCATACAGATAATGCGGCACATTCTGTAAATGGCATCTATGAGCTATCACCACCTGAAAAGGTTAGCATGTATATAAGATGGTCTGTAGGGGTTTCTTTAAAAGTCACACACAAATATTCTGCATTTTAGTTTCAGCTATGGTACTTCCTAGGAGAAAGTGTAAATACCATGTACAGATTAATATGTTATGATCTCACAAACAATCCTATTGTTGGAAATTCAGAAATAGTTTGTTTACCCTTTGGGTTCTATTTCTGAAAAGGTTAAATTCCACAATCACTCGCCAACTAGTTAATATAGTTAAAAGTGAATCAATGCTGCCTGGTGTGACTATGTCCAGTTTAGCTAATATAACGTGTTCCCTTTGAATCATCTGTACTGTACCTTACAGCATTCCTGAAATACATGAACAGATGTAAGTCAGATATCCGTTGAATGAAAATATTTCAACTCTGGCTTGACAGTGATTCGAAAAGGCTTGCAATTATAATTCATAGTGTTCTCTTTAGCCAAGGCCACAGAGACTGTAGCTGTATAGTTGTCATAGCCTTCACCAACAATCTCATTTGTTTTCAGGGCACCCAAGTGACCAATATCCTTGGACAAGTAGAATGTAAGTTGATATGAAACTGTGTGGGTTTTTGACTGTAATGAAACCTTTGTATGGATGAGAATTCCCCACCCCACCCTGGCACACATTCTGGAGCACTTTTCTACAAAGTCTTTTGCACAGCTGGCTGCTTTTCTTCTCTTTTCTAAGATGTCCTTCTTTTTGCAAAACCTGTTCCTTTGTTGCCTATAGCTTATTTTGTCCTAAATAGCAATAGAATGTATGGTTTTCTTGTGGACTAAATGGCATCTCCTCCTCCTAGGAGGGAAATGCATGGTTTCTGTCGCTAGGTGCCAAACTACAGCACAACCTGGTAACAAGCCTTGCCCTCTTAAAACACTAGTCGAGAAGGGAGAATCATTCAGATGTTCCCATTCAGAAACAAAAACATTTAAAAATGGAAACCTATACAAGTCTGCTCCCAGACTCAGCCACAGATTTCAACATTCTGTCTGTCGGAAGAAAAATCTCTCTACCACGCAGACCTTCAGCTTTTTAACAGCTGGTTGGCCCAATAAATTATAGAACTATTCCATTCTTTTTGAAAATCAAGCCTGATGACATTTAAGTCTAAATAAATATTTATTAAAGTGTTTTAAATAAATAAAGTAAGTAAGTAGCTGATTGCTCAGGGTGGTATTCAACTTCTAAACCCCATCCCTTTTAAAAATGTATGTTAGTCAGATAAGTGCTATATAAACATCAATAATAACGAAAATGTTTTGTGGCCTATTTCTCACACAGAAAGCTTGTTTTCCCCAAACCCGGCCCCTGCCTACCCACCCTTGTCAAGGGAAAGACACCACTTGCGTGACATGGAGTCTGAGTTGTCAGCTGTAGTGAAGAAATGCAAGAAACAATGCATAAAATGAGGGCATGTGCTATGAAAGCTGTTCCTTTCTTTTTATTTTTTTATTTTCTTTTTCTTTTTATTAATTCCTGCAGAAACTCAAGGCACATTCTAAAGCAAGCAGATGACAGAATGACACAAACTTACATCCAGCGAAGGCTCCGGCATATCAGATGTCCCCTGCCCACCAGCCTGACCTTCTAAGGCTGAGGAGGGGTTAAAGGCCAGGTCATTGTGTGGATGGTTGCTAGGAGCGGCCTGTGGCGGCTGCCGGGACGGCTGGGTAGGAGGACCGCTGTGATGTAATGGCTGCCCTGACTGGCTGCTGGGATGAGGTACGTGCAAACCTTGCTGCATGGAACTATGGGACTGATCAGTGCTGCCGGGATGAGGGATCTGCGGAGGAGGAAAGAAGCAGGAAAGGAAAAGTGAGGCTACATGGTACAAGGCTCAGAAATGGCAGGGGGAGGAAATAAAATCTTTGTCACTCTAAATTACTTTATCATTAATGCAAAACTCATATTGCAAAATGCTAGGCTTGGACAGGCGTTTGCCGCCAGGGGGAAAATAATGTGCAGGATCATGAGCCCTCGGAATTTAGGAGGTGTCAGTAGAAATAAATAAATGCATGGGATAAAAGGTAGCTTGGTAGGGGATCAAAATTCTCTTTCTCCAGATCCTGCCCTGAAATTGTTAGGGTGGTGGAAAAGATGGAAGTATACATTTACTTTCATAACACAGATCTTAATCATCTGGGAGGAGAATGGCTTTCTGCACATTTCTTTGGAGTGGGCAAACTTGATCAGTTCTGCTGTGGTTTTCATTTAGTCACATCTTCTGGGCAAAAAGGCATCCCCATCAAAGAAGCAGCTCTTGACAGATGCTTCCACAGCAAATTCACCTTAAGCCAATTAAGGTACAGAAACGGAAACATGGCATTTCATGTAGTTCTCATAAAAATAAAAATACCCTCCAAATATTGCTACTGGGCCACACACACAGATTAATGAGCATGCATGTCTGTATCTAGTGAAACGTGTCTTTGTTTCCTCCTTTTGTCCAGGCCTCCCTTTAATGCCAGAGCATGCCTTGCAAACTGACTTTAGCACCATGGAGAAAAATAAGTGCATGAATAGTTTTAAAGGATGTCCCCTACATTCAGCTGACATAAAGATGCAAAAAGATAGCATGAGCACAAAAACACAATGCAAATGAACAGGAAGTGCAAGAATTCTAGAACACAGTAGACGTATTAATATAAAAGACACTTCTATAGTATGCAATTAGTTAAATTTGGTTACAATAAAGTTGTTTTAAAACTATCAGAACACTCAAGTAGGCATTCTTATATTTTAAGTAACTGATCATTGCAGTCTATACTGCACCTATTTTGAATTATCTTGGATGTGCCAGCAGAGGTTAAAGTTCTAATTCCTTCTGGGAAGAAGTTATTCAGTTGTCTATCACTGGTGATATCACTGGTGGCATTTACTCATTTAAGGGACCCAACCACTTTCAAAAACTAGGCCCTAAGATGGACTACTTGCTTCTTCCAACAAATCAATAAATTGAAAAGTGTTGGAAGTACGATGCTAAAACTGAGATATGCATCCTTAGAGCAGCGCCCATGTGCTTTGATATACCATGCTTGGTGATAAAAAAATGATACTAGGAAACAAACTCAAGTAGCAGGGTGGAAGTAGGTTTATATAATGCTGAAACTCAGTGCTTCACCAAATTACCGTATTTTTCGTTCCATAGGACGCTCCGTCCCATAGGACGCACCTACTTTTTTGGGGGGGAAATAAAGGAAATTTCCCCCCCTTTATTTCCCCCCCAAAACCAGGTCGGGGAACAGTGGGATGGCGGCGCTGCGCCTCCCCGTTGTCCCCCGAGCTTGTGGGGCTGGCCGATGTCTGCCCGGCGTGAGGGGCGCTCTGCTTCAGGGCGCCCCATGAGCCGGGCGGCAGGCTGCAGACACCTGCGCGAAGCACGGGGCGCCCTCCGGAGGACGCCCTGTGCTTCGCGCTGCAGGCTGCCGCTCGCAAGCCTTGCGCTCCCGGGAAGATCCCCGGGTGCGCAAGGCTTGCCGGACACCTGCGCGGAGCACGGGGTGCCCTCCGGAGGGCGCCCCGCGCTCCGCGCTGCAGGCTGCCGCCCGCAAGCCGTGCGCGCCCGGGGGGTATCTCCCCCCGGGTGCGCAAAGCTTGCAGATAGCTTCCTGGAGCCTGGAGAGCGAGAGGTGTCGGTGCGCACCGCCGCCGCGCGCTCTCCAGGCTTCAGCGAAAGCCTGCATTCTCCCCATAGGACGCACACACATTTCCCCTTCATTTTTGGAGGGGAAAAAGTGCGTCCTATAGAGCAAAAAATACGGTATTTATTTTTAACAAAAACATAACCATATGAGAGTATTAGCTGCATACAAATACAGGGGGAAGATACATACAAATACATTGGCCAGTTTAGCATCAGTTCTTTCCTTTCTTACAGGTGAATGCTGCAAAATTGAAGACTTCCATGCCATCAGGTGTGAGAGAAGGCAGTGCGTGCTTATACTTCTCCATATTCCAAGAAACCAGCTCCTGGTGAGCCAATTTTTTGCTCTCTACTTTCCAAAGGGATTTAAAGGAGCACAGAGGCAAATAGCCCCATTGCACATGCAGACATCTCTAAGACAGCAACATTTAATTTGCCAGTTTCGTTTGGGGTATATAGTACCCTGGTCTGCAGCTCATCCTGTCAAAGGGCCACAACTGCATGGGTGGGAAGATGCAGGGGATCATGCCTTCCCTACAAATGACCTGCTGTTTTGTTTTCGTTTCAATCTCCCTCTTTCCCCTCTCCATCAATATGTAAAGCAGGAAGTTGAGGGGGAGAGGCTGTGAGAGATGGAAAAGTTAAGTAGACAGTTTCCATGCTCCCTTCTGCCATCACCTGCCCTTTTGATTTCCTTATGTGGTTGTGCCAAAGGAGCAGGCTCATAAATTGGCCCTCCCTCTCTATACTTGGGGAGTTCAATGGACCTATAGCTTTTCCTTCATGCCTCCCTCTGCCTCTCACACCTGAGGAAGTCAAAAGGGAAGGGGTGATAGCAGTGGGACCTCCCATCAGTACACAGAGAGGGAAGAATACAAAAAGTATATGCTATCATTTGAGAAGGCACACGTGGGCCAATACCCCGTATTACAGTACACTCCAAAATGGCCTGCTACTTAGATCCTTTCCTTCCCAGCCAAGGCTGGAAACTGAGGAATCGGGTATCTGCCCTTGCAGAAGCAGGAAGATAAGACATTTCCTTTACTAATCCACCAGTACAGATGCTAATAGGCTGGGAAGTTTTTTAAATAAATAAATAAATAAATAAACACTGGGTAAAGAACATTTTTGGAAGGGCAGAGTAGTCGCACTTCATATTTTTTCCCCCTACTAGACCCCCAAGATATAACAATAAGAGCCAGGTGTAAAATACATAGTCAGAATTAAACAGGGTGCCTCTGAGCTCTTTCTGAATCTAAGGTTTTGTTTTCAGGAAATTAACAGAAAGGAGAGCTTTCTTCATTTTATTAGCCTGATATAAGTAGAGAGATAGCTTGTTCTTGTTGAACGTTTGGGAGTGAGACATTCTTGCTGATCTAGTGCAGATTAGGCCTGGGTGATGTATCGCTCAGGACTGGTATGAGGGCAGATCGTGATGGCGGCTGAAACTGCCACCTCTCCCTTGGCGTTGGTAGCAGAGGAACTCGGGAGCGGTGGTGGTTTCATCAAAGATACACCACTGAATGAAGCTGCCATCACAGTCTGCCCTCATACCAGCACAGAGGGAGAAGCAAGCTGCATTGGTGAGGCGTGATACAGCTTGGCTGAGGAGTGTGCCACTGCCCTTCCTTCAGCCAAGCAGTTTTACGGAGATCCTGACCCACCACTGGCTTGCACGGGGGGGGGGGGGGTGTCCATTAAAGAGCTCCTGCTCACCAACTGAGGGAGCCCCATCCTTTTCCTGCTCACAGATGAGCAGGAAAAAGATGGAGCTCCCTCAGCTGGGTAGCGGGTTGCTTCGTGTCCCCCAGCTGAAGAAGCCTAACGGAGCCTCCAGCTTGTGTAAGCTGGAGATGGGGAGGGGGCTCCCTTAGACTTCTGTGCCAAGGCAGCAGGTCTGCACTTGCCTCACCCGGGAGGGTGTGCTAGGTCTTTCCTCCCGGGGGAAGGCAGCCTTGCAAACAGAGCCTGACAGGTGTGCACTTGGCTGCAGCCACCTGGCTGATTCCCTCCATCCCCAGTGCCTGGAGCAAGCTGTATTGGCCTCAGCTCCTGGCCAATGCAGCTTGTTTCTCCCTCCGTTTCAATGTTTTGATGTTGAAAAGGCGACATCGCCCAGCCCTGGTGCAGATCACCTACAGATTTACCAGTAGGGCAACTATCTACCCACTAGGATTGGGCGATGTTGAAACAAGGTGCATCGGCCCCAGCTGGTGAGGCGCTGAGAGAAACTGCCTCAGCTCTCACGGTGGGAACTGAGGAGCATCTTGTGGGCTGGGGACAATGCAGCTGCCCCCTGCCTGCTGCTCAGCTGTGGGGCGGAAGGCCCTGGCTTCCCAGCTGAGGGATCCCTTCCTGGAAACTGCGCTTCCCTCGACA